CTGCAACAATTCTTGTTCATTTGGCTTTATTATGGTCTCAATACTCGATATATATATGTGTTAGATAAAGTCGTTTCATAACAGTATCAACTACCAAGGAGTGATGCTTACTTCCTCTGTGATTAACTTTATATATCCCATGAGATCTAAATGTTTGTGACGATGGTAAATCGTTACAATTAATATGTTGTTGGACATTATCCATCATCTTGTCTGTTCTTAAAAAACCGGCCTGTTTCTTTAAAAAAAAACACAACGTTTCCGGGACTGTATTCTGTCCCCGTCTTCAGGTAAAACCTACTCAGTTGGGTCCAATAGACAGAGCTAGCTCATATCTCCGGACAACTATGCCAGTTTCAGAAGGGGTTCATAATCCAAGCACAACACAAACCATCTGTGAGAGCTAAGAAATAATGAAGCTATCACATATGGGGCCTTGCACCAGAGAAGTATCTTGAATAAAATCATACCTGGAGAGAAGCAATACTCCTTGTGGTACTAACACTTGAAACAGTTACCCACTCCAACTACACTTGACGGCGCTGTAGTCTCTTGACTTCTGTTGTGATGACAGGGGTCCAGATGGGAGAGATATCCACACTGGGTTGACTGATTGGATGGTCCAGTAGAGACATATGGGCTGATTCCTTGTATTTCCTGTACGTGGTGTTGGGTTCGATCTCCAAGACCTTCGCTTCATTCCAACGAATTTTGTGGTCTTCTTCGTATGCATGTTGGGCCAATTTAGATTTTTCCAGCAAACACTGTGTCATATTTGTTGTGCTTCTTAATGCGTACTTCTAGGGGTCTGCTAGTTTCACCGGTGTAACATCTGCCGCAGTCGCAAGGGATGCTATACACACAGTGCTTCGTTATCTGGGCATCTCTAACGGGTCCAGTTTTCATTGATGTCCCCCGGAGTGTATGTTTCGTTTTGAAGATTGTTCTGAGCTGAAAACTGTTCCCGATGCGACTGAATTTCTCGGCGATACGGTTTTTTAAGAACAGACAAGATGATGGATAATGTCCAACAACATATTTATATATCCCATGTTTTCCCCAGGCTCCTTGTAACAAGAGTTACAATTGGATGGTCATCCTCCTTATAATTTTATCTCCTTGTAACCTAGCAAGTGATTGCCTGATACCATTCGTACGTCACAGGGTGTGTGACTCTTCTGCTAATTTCCCTTAATATTCTTAATTCAATTTTCATCTTTGCTGGAACGGCCTGTCGTCGCTACATCCGTCATTAAGCCTACTGCACAGGAAGTCAATGCGGTATAACTTCCCAACTTTACTTGCAGTGTAGTTACCAAGAATATGGTTTCCAGTCCACATCCTATATCCTGTGGGTTCACTCTACGTACATACATACAGCCTGTCCTCATCCACACATTATGTGAAATAAATGATAGTAATATTCAATCAATACTTATTACTAAATCCCTATTCTTTCCACGTAACATCAATATATATATATATATATGTTATGTGTATATGTGTGTGTATCATATAAGGTCATTTTATAACACTATAATATAACGTTTTTCCCTGGAACCCCCCCTTAGTCCGTTGATGAAAGCGGGTAATAACCTCTTTTCTGCTTCTCTATTTAGTATGGCTTGCCCTACTGGATTTTCTGTCTGCTGGACCGTTTCTGACACGGTTTACGGAGACGATCCAAATACATTTCGGGACTCTCATCTTTCTCCTGAGAAGCATTTTGTAATCTTGTATAATGGTACTGACCGACGTGATTTTCCTTAAACCTCTGCACAAAGGCTGCTTTGAAATCTGCATATTCTGCGTCATTACCCTTCAACCCTTGTTGGGCGGAATAGAAAGACTTTGCTACCCCTGTTAGTTTCAATCATTTTTTTTTATTGCTAGTGGGGTGGGACTAAGTCCCTTGTACTGCCGCCACTTCTGGCCTATTATACCAGCCCCAGATGATAGGCGAGGGTGATTGTGGAGCAATTGGTGGAATTAAGATTGCCAGGGGAAACCGAAGTACTCTGAGAAAACCTGCTCCAGCGCCACTTTGTCCACCACAAATCCCAATTGACCAGACCCGGGATTGAACCCGGGCCGCCGCGATGGAAAGGCAGCGACTAACCGCTTGAGCTATGGCAGGATCCAGTTTCAACCTTGCTAGCCGCAGTTTGTCTTTAGTACTCAGCCGGCCCATCTCGGCTGCTTCATCTGTTGCTTCAAAAAATTCATGCACGGAGACGCTCCTCTGAGCTCCCTTCCAAGGCTTTTATCAAATTGGCCACCCGCATATCTTTTGCTGCAGTCGCCATTTTGTTTAGTTAATTCTTATATAACATGTATTTCCTGTTCCTAGTTATCAACTGCAACTAGACTCCCGCTGTCACCGGTGTGCCGAAACCACGTCTATAACGTCCCTGTGGATTTATGGGAGTCCCCAGGGATCAATTCATACTACGTTTTAAACCACGGCCGACCGAATCGTCCGTCAGCCCAACAACCTGCCAAAACTGTTGGTCTCCCTTGGAGATATGGGGGGCAGAGGTGGAACCGCTGCCCACCGGGGTCCTTATTCCCACCTCGCAGTAACACAGGTAAGATCCTGC